CGGGTTACGAGGACAGCTTGTACCGAATGAACTGGTCCGACTCCGATAATATTGAACTTCATACGTTCCGGCTATGTACTTGGATAGTTGGACATTAGCAAACCCTTATGGACTGATGGAGAGAATAGCAAGCAAGTGTCTCATATGGCAACCCACGCACTGGTTGTTGATCAGACGGCACTAGGCTTGTGAACAATTCGTCATGTGAGGGGACATCATCAGTGCACGGCTGAAGAATTTTCTATGAAACCACACATCAAAATTTTGCGATTGTTACTTTAAAAATAGGTAACATTTTCCATTGTTTGCCAGCATCTATGAAATCCCACCAACGATTAAGTTAGCGAGTACAGTGTTAATGAGATACCGCCTGTTTATCCATCACTACCTCAATGGTATGTTACTTGGCAGTTTCCGGTAGCACTTGCATGCTGCTATTCTAGAGGAGGTACATTGTTGCATCGAAAGTTAAAGGCACTGGCGAGCGACGCAGTTATGCTGATGTCAAACAGGTAAACAGGCACCAATGGGTAAGCAATCATTTTAGGCTGGCTTTCAACTCGTAACAGTCCTGTGGGTGTTTGCCTAACGACATTATTTCTCCAGATTCTCATTGGCGCCAATGGCTCCACGTCAACCGTCCAGTGGCATAATCATTACTGACTGGCAAGTCCTTTTCGGATGACAGTCATTCATATATCCCCTTTATATATATATACACTTTACACTTTAACGAGACACGCTCAAGTTGCTGTTGCATTTTGACCATCATATGCCAGCGGAATCAAGCGTTTTCAGCATTTGAGTCCAGTACCGATTTAAAGAGACAAGTGGATATTTGGAGTGTTTTAATGCAAATGCTGGCAATTCATAGACCGAAAGCAGATTTGGATCAGTCGGCCAGCAATATTCATGTTATCCGAGGAGGCATGGCTTGGTAGAAAACAACTGGGAACAGAGAACAGCTTAAACACCCGACAGGAGATCCGTTCCCGTAGTGTTATATCGCTTAGGGGAAGCTTGGTAAAACAGGGATGGTGTCCAAACGTAACGAGTTTCGACGTGATCTGGTCCTTTAGGAGACTTTTTACGCTTCTCTTGCTTTTCGAGCGGTTTTGACAGAGTACTGTTACCATTCATATCATGGATATTACGGGGCAACCATTTACGTTTTTCAGTTTATTTTTATCTAGCTTCACCTACGTAGCTGCTGCCATCGGAGAGATACTGCCCTAATAAATCATACAAAAGTGGCTGCACTTAAAACATGTTCTCTTATGATGACGGTCATACGACTCGAAACAATCTTAAAGGGATCACTGAAAGTGGGTTAACCCTGAGAATTAATCTCTTCCGAAGTTGACCTTCACAGAGGGAAAGCTGCAATATTGAGGTCTAAGTAGCCGAATGAGTTATATCACCCACCTGACAACTGACGACCAATGAGGTGTAGTCATTGATGAAGCTTATGCCACTATGTAGCAGATACACACAACATCTTTTTAGAACGTTTTATAGGAAATATTGGGGTATTTTATGNATTGTTACTTTAAAAATAGGTAACATTTTTCAGTGTTTGCCAGCATCTATGAAATCCTACCAACGATTAAGTTAGCGACTACAGTGTTAATGAGATACCGTTTGTTTATCCATCACCACCTCAATGGTATGTTACTCGGCAGTTTCCGGTAGCACTTGCATGCTGCTATTCTAGAGGAGGAACATTGTTACACCGAAAGTTAAAGGCACTGGCGAGTGACGCAAGTATGCTGATGACAAACAGGTAAACAGGCACCAATGAGTAAGCAATCATTTTAGGCTGGCTTTTGGCTCGCAACAGTCCTGTGCGTGTTTGCCTAGCGACCTTATTTCTCCAGATTCGCATCGGCGTCAAGGGCTCCACGTCAACCGTCCAGTGGCATAATCATTACTGACTGGCAAGTCCTTTTCGAATGACAGTCATCCATATATCCTCTCTTTCTTTATATATACATATACTTACACTTTAACGAGACACGCTCAAGTTACTGTTGCATTTTGACCATCATATGCCAGCGGAATCAAGCGTTTTCAGCACTTGAGTCCAGTATCGAATTAAAGAGACAAGTGGGTATGTGGAGTGTTTTAATCCAAATGCTGGCTATTCATAGACCGAAAGCAGATTTGAATCAGTTGGCCAGCAATGTTCATGTTATCTGAGGAGGCATGGCTTGGTAGAAAACAACTAGGAACAGAGAACAGCTTAAACACCCGACGGGAGATCTGTTCCCGTAGTGTTACATCGCATAGGGGAAGCTTGGTAAAACCGGGATAGTGTCCAAACTTAACGAGTTTCGACGTGATCTGGTCTTTTAGGAGACTTTTTACGCTCCTCTTGCTTTTCGAGCGGTTTTGATAGAGTACTGTTACCATTCATGTCATGGACATTACAGGGCAACCATTCACGTTTTTCAGTTGATTTTTATCTAGCTTCACCTACGTAGCTGCTGCCATTGGAGAGATACTTCCCTAATAAATCATACAAAAGTGGCCGCACTTAAAACATGTTCTCTCATGATGACGGTCATACGGCTCGAAACAATCTTAAAGGGATCACTGAAAGTGGGTTAACCCTGAGAAGTAATCTCTTCCGAAGTTGACCTCCACAGAAGGAAAGCTGCAATACTGAGGTCTAACTAGCCGAATGAGTTATATCACCCACCTGACAACTGACGACCAATGTGGTGCAGTCGTTGATGAAGTTTATGACACTATGTAGCAGATCCATAGAACATCCTTTTAGAACGTTTTATAGGAAATATTGGGGTATTTTATGTTAAAATGAAGCATAATTAGCACTACCGGCAGATACATGTTCAATAAAATTATCCCCTTCTCGAGAGATTACGCTTGGAAACAACCCGCCTTAGGAGTAACTACACTGAGGAGGTCGTTGGATCATATTCTGATACTAACTTTCCTCAATGAATAAATTTATTAACAGAAGATGCCCTTTGATAACGCTTCCAGACAGATTCAGCTAAATATCAGCTTTATCTTTTTAGCCCATAGTAACGGGGCAATTCTGCTTAAGTGGGACTACTATCGGAGGAACAGGTGTTTTGTATCCGCTGCTAGCGGAATACAGTCTTTGAGATCACACCGTATGTCATGACTGTCGGAAAACCTTTCTTTGAATTACCAAGAAGTGCAATATTTTCTCAGAAGGTCTGTAGTTCGGAAAGGATCACTACGCTTACCCAGCACACCCAACAGTTGAGCAGTTTGAATGTCAGACTCACTAGATTATCTCCAAGAAATGGTGTAGTGTGGAATCAGAGGAGAGCTGTTTTTAGGACTTTAAATTTTGATACAAATATCCCGTGACTAACAAACAGTAAAGTGAAATGTGTTATGCATCGGTAGAAAATATGCTGCATTCGATAAGAATGCCGGTCGTCTAATTGCTTCTCAGACACCTATTTGTCCCCTCAAAGAAACCAGCATGCGAAAAAGTACTCTTCTAAAGCTATCACTTTTCTTTGGTGCCCTCAAAATGTCTCTCGTGAGAAAAATCATTACATTCTCTTCAAATGTGCCACGTGAAGAGACTATATCTCGTTTGAAGCGGAATACACTGTTTAAAGCGATTTTATAGAACCAGCCGAAATGATGTCTCCCACGGGTGGTTTTGCTAACAGCACAATTTTAAACTTCATCTTTACGAAACCGAAATTCTAGGCTACTATTTGAATGGTTGGCCTCGTGGGTTGAGAACTTACATATTAGGTAATTTAGTTTCATTAGACAGCGATACAGAGTGGGCGGTGACCGGTTAGATTGGGCCGCAGCTTCGGATTAATTCTGTGACACCTCTCCGGTTGGGTAGTTCAAAATGGCAAACTATTCAATCCAGTGTTGATTTTGGCTGATAGTAATTGTTTTCGTAAATAGAGGGTTATAGCGTCACCTCACCGGCTTTCATGTTTATGCAGAAAAGGATCGACTGGGTTGACTGAAATCCTTATTTCATGTAGCGAATTCTCTTTGAAGGTGACTTGGTCATCGGAATAATCGATTGGTCCAAAACATCTTCACCAGCATATTTAGCTTTGTCTAGTTTGCTTTCTATCGCTTATGAATTCACTGACGGACGAAATTCAGCAGAGAAAATTGATTATACCTATTGCATCCACTGATTGACATTGTCTTCAACTAAAATAACGAAATTTCCTCTAAGTTTGGTCAAATTTTCATCTTCTGATTGTCATTGTTTCATAATCCACGCATAAAATTTAACCCGGTTGAAAGAGTAGAAAATGACCTCCACTGGCCTGACAAAACGGCCTGTGCACCTCGTTACAGTTATCGTCACATCATTCATTTAGCATTACAACCAAGAACACACTTCATTTATTCATTCAATTGTTTGTCATTTCTGACGGTTAGTTGCTCAGCTAACGAGTTGCATGTAGTTGAACAGAGCAATTTTGAAACACGGCAAAGGGTTCAAAATCTTCGTTTATCAATTGAGTCGAATCCTCCCCTAAGCACCGGCGGAAGGTGTTTTATAGACAGTGCAGCTGTCTGAGTGAGTCTCACTCTCTACCAAGCTTAGACTGACCCGACCCGACCAGACGGCTCTTTTTACCCACGCTTGTTTTTGGGGAAAACCCGGTCGCATTACATGAAACTGTCATACCGCGAATACCTGGATGGGAAGGTTTATATTGTGTGCAAAAATACTATTGATCTCAGTCAGACAATCCTGCTGAGCAAAATAATTCGCAACGATATACTCACCAATTAAAGGAGGCATTTTTCTGACCGGTGTATCTTCGTTCGAACCGTCCTACCCAAAGTCTGTTTGAATGTGGAGAGATAAAAAATAATCTTTCATTCCTTTAAAGGATTATTTTAAAGGGGTGCTTTGTGGAGAAGACATACGAAAATGACCAAACTCTCCTTAATAACTACCTAGGACAACTGATTTGCTGCATAAGATTTTTTTTTGGTAGTGCGAAAAAAAGTCCTAGTTTCAATAAGCTTACTAACCAGGATTAACGTGTAGGCATTGTTTTTTGTTCCTACTATCACTACCTTCATCAAATGAAGTATGACCTTTCTGATATAAGACCAATTGAGCAGTTTCCTATCGGTAATGGATGTTCTCGCAGTAAGTGGAATTTGCTATTTTCTATCCGTTTTTCGAACCTTTATTGTTGGAAGTCCAATATGCAGCGATAAATCCAACTTATCTGGTATACCGTAGATGTACTGTATGCGCAATTATGAGCAGTACGTGGAATTTGCTACTTTCTATCAGTTGTTCGAACCTTTATTGTTGGAAGTCCAATGTGCAGCGATGAATCCAACTTATCTGGTGTACCGTAGATGTACTGTATGCGCAATTATGTCCTACTAATCCTACGATTAGATGGGGAAGCACCCACTATATGAGGACTCTTCTTTTCTCCTATACAGGTATCCTGACTTTCGTGAACATCATGAAAGTCCGTTGGGCTGCAAATATCCAGGATCTGTTTACAGTTTCCAAGCTGTTGGCTCTTTCAATCATAATAGTAACTGGAATCGTGTTATTATGTATGGGTGAGCATATCATTTATCACTTAATCCACAACTAGATGAATCAGGGTTTTGTGATACCGCTATCTTTATGTGCACAGAAATAATAACGGAGGGCCTGAGTGTCTTTTTCATCTAGGAGAAGGAAAGTGGACAAATGGTTTATGGGGCCTTATTAGTGTCGCACAGCATAGCATTGAAACAATGATTGAATCTACTGGTGTGCCCTGGAACAGCAGAGTTCCGGAATTAGCTGATGCCATTGCTTTTCACAATTGGAAGCCTGGTCTGTGTGAACAGAAATGGCGTTTTGTTTCTTGGGTACTATCATGGTAAACCACAGAGCGAGCCTTCAGCTGGAGGCGTTTGAAAGATATTTTTGTTAGATACTGTGATATACACCCAGTGAGATACAGTAAAATAAATCTGGAATATCATACAAAACCGCGTTGTGGTGTTGAACCTTTAGGTTCGTTCAGAGAAAGATTATTCGATTTTCGCTTTTGTCCGTATTTTCGTGATGTTCAATGCGTTAAAGTTCCGAATGTTTTAAAAAGCCATAAAACACTACCAACTTAATACGCACTGACCTCTTTTGGCTTACTAAGAGGACACTATAGTAAAGACCACCAGTTTATGATGCCTGAAGTATCCTTACTAGGTTTTTACGTCACTCGACGTTTGCTCACCAATAAGCTTTCAGCTGAAAACTATGGCATAGTACTTCACGGAGTTTGTCACGGAGATGTAAGCAGCCAAAGCATTTTACCCACTCAAGTAAAATATCATTTAAAGATTTACTGCATCTGCACAGGCAATAGGCAGTCAGGCCTTTGTACGGATGAGCCGCATACGTTGAAAAATTTACGCACTACTGAATTGGTAGAAAAGGTATCCATCGGCTTCCAGGTTATTCAGGCGTCCGAGAAAAGCTCTGTTTATGGTAAGACGAACAGTCGAAACCATTCAACAGGTCCATATTTCTTCAGCTACGTTTACTAGTTCAGTTTATTATAACATCACATGATTGCTCAATTAAGTTTTGATGGAAGAGCTTCAGAAGTTCACCATCTGGAGTTAAGAAGATATTTTCAGATCCTCAACTTCCAGGAGGTTATCTCATAGTCAGCATTTCATGTTGCACACGTACAGGTATCACAAAAGATTCTACAAAGTGATCAGAAATATTGGAAAACGATTTGCATTATTTGTTACCGCAATACTGTATGCGCAATTATGTCCTACTAATCCTACGATTAGATGGGGAAGCACCCACTATATGAGGACTCTTCTTTTCTCCTATACAGGTATCCTGACTTTCGTGAACATCATGAAAGTCCGTTGGGCTGCAAATATCCAGGATCTGTTTACAGTTTCCAAGCTGTTGGCTCTTTCAATCATAATAGTAACTGGAATCGTGTTATTATGTATGGGTGAGCATATCATTTATCACTTAATCCACAACTAGATGAATCAGGGTTTTGTGATACCGCTATCTTTATGTGCACAGAAATAATAACGGAGGGCCTGAGTGTCTTTTTCATCTAGGAGAAGGAAAGTGGACAAATGGTTTATGGGGCCTTATTAGTGTCGCACAGCATAGCATTGAAACAATGATTGAATCTACTGGTGTGCCCTGGAACAGTAGAGTTCCGGAATTAGCTGATGCCATTGCTTTTCACAATTGGAAGCCTGGTCTGTGTGAACAGAAATGGCGTTTTGTTTCTTGGGTACTATCATGGTAAACCACAGAGCGAGCCTTCAGCTGGAGGCGTTTAAAAGATATTTTTTGTTAGATACTGTGATATACACGCAGTGAGATACAGTAAAATAAATCTGGAATATCATACAAAACCGCGTTGTGGTGTTGAACCTTTAGGTTCGTTCAGAGAAAGATTATTCGATTTTCGCTTTTATCCGTATTTTCGTGATGTTCAATGCGTTAAAGTTCCGAATGTTTTAAAAAGCTATCAAAAACTGCCAACTTAATACGCACTGATCACTTTTGGCTTACTAAGAGGACACTATAGTAAAGACCACCAGTTTATGATGCCTGAAATATCCTTACTTGGTTTTTACGTCACTCGACGTTTGCTCACCAATAAGCTTTCAGCTGAAAACTATGGCATAGTACTTCACGGAGTTTGTCACGGAGATGTGAGCAGCCAAAGCATTTTACCCACTCAAGTAAAATATCATTTAAAGATTTACTGCATCTACACAGGCAATAGGCAGTCAGGCCTTTGTACGGATGAGCTGCATACGTAGAAAAATTTACGCACTACTGAATTAGTAGAAAAGGTATCCATCGGCTTCCAGGTCATTCAGGCGTCCGAGAAAAGCTCTGTTTATGGTAAGACGAACAGTCGAAACCATTCAACAGGTCCATATTTCTTCAGCTACGTTTACTAGTTCAGTTTATTATAACATCACATGATTGCTCAATTAAGTTTTGATGGAAGAGCTTCAGAAGTTCACCATCTGGAGTTAAGAAGATATTTTCAGATCCTCAACTTCCAGGAGGTTATCTCATAGTCAGCATTGCATGTTGCACACGTCCAGGTATCACAAAAGATTCTACAAAGTGATCAGAAATATTGGAAAACGATTTGCATTATTTGTTACCGCAATGTAGCATCTCATGAAGGCTCCGCTAGGCCTACCTCATATTTCAGGTTATAGGAAATAGTTTTGAACAAATATCCATGAACATTTGGGGAGTTTGTAAAGATAGCAATGTGTCTATCAAAATAATGTTCACTCAAAAGAATTCCCTTGGGTTTGTAATAGAGTGACACTGATGTGCAACAATTCAACATTGCTTTAGAAGGTATGAGCAGAAGTTTTGCGTAGAATGTTCTTAGAAAGTCTACCATTAGTTTTTGTTTGTTTTTGAAAGCTGAGATAAACGTCTCACGACTAACTTGATCTCCCATATCCTACATACATGGTAAAGTACAAAAGGCACTTTAGCCATTATGTTAACCTTGTTTTTATTTAACGCTTCTTTAGGACACACCGAGAATTTCGAGGATGCGTTCATCACACAGAAAACGCTTACTGCTACTGACATTGCATTGGCACTTTACTCGGGATTGTTTTCGTATGCTGGCTGGTAAGACCATACTAGTTTCCTCCTATTTTTGTAATATATTTGTAAACTACACTGTATTATCATATCATGTGAACTTTGTACACCTGGATTTCTAAACTCTTGAGAACATCCTAAGTCGAATTCGAAGTAAGCTTCATCCCTATAAGATGTACTTAGGTGACTTAGAACGAGATAAACCACCTTTTTATGATCTATATATATGGCTGGAATAAAATTAAAACCTACCAAGAGCCCGATACAGATCCAAACGCGTCCGTTGTGCGCGGAGTTATCAGTCTTGCATCAGCATCAGCAGTGGTTTGTTTGTCCCTTTATTTGGTCAAGTGCTCACCTACACTTCATCCCTTGGCCTGGGCAAGAGGGAGGTATAGCTTGTTCACGGATATCCCTCCCAGTTCTTCCCAACCCCACAAACAAACGTCACTGGATCCTTTGATTGCCACTTACCTGACCGATATTTCTCACCCAACGCACTGCCCAATAAGTATAAATAAAATAACAGTACTAAATCCAAGACATGACCCCTACATAAGACCTTTCAACGTCCGTACTCTATGTCAAATCATAAAAGCATGCGATTCCCCCTTGGACCTTATACCCCTCTAAAAATGACTCACGCTGTGTCTCTGAAGAACATATAAAAGACTCAAGAGTGATACGGCATCTGCGTTTTCACATTTTACTCTACGTTGTTTAGTGATCTAGAAGCGATGAACTGTGCAATGCATGAAATGGGAGCCGAACTGGTTTCCATGCCTTAGCTGGACTCATTCCAATTCAAAACCAAGCCTTGAAGGCGAAGGCGTGCAGTTTGTTCGGAAATCTGGTAGCTACGCACTGAAGGCGATAGCTCTGACGCACAAGCACCACTGACTGCGCGACTGGGCCATTTCTGCCAATGTTTAACAGCTGGTGATTTGAGTCCCGGAGTCCCCATCCAGGGAGGCGACTAAGCTGACTGCTTAGTGTTTTCGTGATCCGTTGCCTGGTTGTACACTCTCTAACTGTGGGTTGCTTCCACTCAGCAAAGAGTTGGGTGAAAAGAGCTCTGCAAGGCGGTCGGTCTTCTGACATACAGAGTACAGCATAATCTGTGAATCGTGAGTACTTCATCTATCGCCGGAGAGTACATTCTTCCTAAGACCATCTGGCATACATCAGCATTGTTAATCCGATGTTCCCACCAGACCAGACCAATGCTTCGGAGACACTGATGGTCAATACTGACATCTCTCGAATGTACACTGCGTGGAGGTCACGTTTCTGATCCATAAAGCAACTGTGTAGACTATTCCCTTGACAGGCAAACTGACAACTTCGGCGCCATAGGTGTCGGAGGTTGGCAAAAGCTGCCCTGGCCTTTCCGATTCGAGAAATAATCTCATCTGCAGCCACTTCACCGGAACCTATACAGCTGCCCAGGTAAACAAATCTACCACATCGATTGGTTCGTTTGCAAGCGTGAGGTTTGGGTTTGATCCCACCCAGTATTGTAACAGCACGTTACACTTTGGAGCGCATACCAAACCGTGCGGCAGAGTTATTTAGGTCATTTAAAATCGTTTACTTTTGGGAAGGATCTGAACCAAGGAGAGCAATATCGTCCGCATACTCAATGTCTGTGAGGAAACGTTCCTGGAGCATTTCGACTCCCGAGGTTTCAGAGACAGGCAGAGAAATTTCAGACAGCATACCAATAACAAAAATGAAGAGGAAAGGGAAAGAGGACAGTCTTACACCTTAGACCTGGTGAACTCAGACAAGAACTTCCCGTATACTCGTACCCGCACGCAGAATTTCGCATACATAGAGGAGAGAAATTTTGAAGGGACATCTTTGATCGCCAGAAACTGCCAAAGTTGCTGACGATCAACAGAATCAAAACCAGCTTTCGAATACAAAAAACAGCTTTTGAAGGAGGGGCGCTGTTCAAAAATTTGTCCCAAAGTAAAGATATGGTCGATGCAACCTCGACCAGGGCGAAACTCAGCTTGATTCTAACGAATCTGTCTCTACCGATAATCCATCAACTTGCTCAAAATAATGCCATAGAGCACCTTAGATAAGACATATACCAAGGTGATACCACGATGGTTTTCACACGGCTTTCTTACTCCCTTTTTGAAAACTGGACACTTGTGGAGACCCGCAATGCAAGACGGTTGACCTTTCCCGGGTACGAAACACGATTACGATCACACCGTAACAACAACACTTCTGAAAGTTGGCTTTCCATCATGTCCTCGCAATTCAGCAAAAAGTATGCTAATCCAACATCGTTGGGGTACGGCCTGTAGGGCGAAGAGACGATATGGAGCGTGCAACTAGGTACAAGGTAAGACAATCAACTGATAGCTGTCCAAATCGGGTTCAAATCCTACCGTACAGCCGTCTCAAGTGTCCCACAGTGGCAACAAACTGATGTCATGCAGTCAGCAGGCAATTCGGATAAACAATGGGGATGCTGCGAGTCAAAAACGGTCGCTAGCAAATAACCAGTCGGGAGCGGAACCAATCACATGCGGCAAATGCGGAACGGTAATGCTGAACTCAGGGCGGCGCCAAGAAGTCGGTTTCTATACTCATAGAAACACAGTGATCATGTCCAGTAGAATGAAATTTTCCAGTTGAGAAACGAGGCTTTTTCTCCATCGCACTACGGGGTTACCATCAAGATGCATTCACTGAATCATGGTTGAATTTTTCGAAGCTTAGCTATATTTAGCTTAAAGTTAGGATGGCAGGAACATACTCTATGGAAGCATTCTCCCACGAGTCGGAAATTTCCTCAGTTTTTATTCTCTACATTTTGCTTGTAATCAAGTCATTGCTCGTCACTCTTGAAATTCTCTTTTCCGGATTTGGTGTAGCTGTATTCATTGATTGCTGAAGCATTTCTTCATTTACTGCATAAAATCTGGAAAATAATAAATAGTGCCCCATGGACCAGTGCGACTGATCTTGTGTTTTAAGCAGTAATGACCGTCTTACAACCATTTCAGTTTCGTGTAGTACAAGATGCAGCGCTCTGCCTTCTTTTTAACAAACCAAGGAAGCAAGTGTTCGTGTGAAAATATAACAGGAGTTTTATGCGATATCCGTTCCATCTTCAAAGACCAAAATAAGACCCTTTACTAATATATTGCGTTGTAGCAGTACTGCAAATTTTTTTTGGCTAGGGTTGTGGCTAAGGATTGTGCCTATTCTGAAGGAGGACCGTTTCATTGTTAGATGACTTTCGATTCGCGTCGTTTACTGAGACTTATTAGATAACTTTGGACACACCAGTTTTATTTTCTTATTTGACGCTTAGCTTGTCAAGGAGCCATCATGCTTGATAATCTCCGGTGACAACAGCGTCTGGGACATATGCGACAATGCGAAGCGCATTAGTGCTACTGAGTGAGGCTTCTTAGCATCACATAAAGTGGAAAATATATTCGTTTATTCGTCTTCACGGTGAAAGCAAGGGATGTCTCCATTCCTTTCCGGCCTTCTTATTTGAATTGCCTTCATTGATACTAACACTATGCTGCTGTCGCGGTTAAATGCGATCGGAGTGTGTCTTGAAAAGTTTGCCAAAAGTGCATTATAAAGCCAGGGATAACACTAGATCTAATTCATCTTTGGTTTGAAAAAACCGACATTGCACTTCTGGTGAGGAGTCTTATAAAACGTGGGATTGATGAATGGTGTACTCCGCTAATCACCTGTTCATTGACGTTTGTAGGAACTTTTTAAATATGATCACAGAAGAACTGCAAGACCCATCGAAGTGAGTCAATCCGAGAAGACTGTTTTGGAAAATGTGATGAATTTGTTTGTGTCCAGCCAGAGGGGTGTTGTGGGTAGGCGTATGTACAGTGTTGTCTTACATCGTGTCCTAAGGAGCGTCCATTATGACATTAATATCATTAATCTTTCCACGGGGTCATGTTGCTTCGGTGTTCCCTGTCTTGTTTATTCATGACTTCACAAAAGCTAGCTTTAAGCTTCAAGTTTCATCTCAGTCGTTTTCGTCATGTGGAGCGGCTTCATCTTTGTGTTATGAAATTTCCAAATTGTCCTTGAGGCGAAGCGAACGGAAATCATCGATCCAATATGAAGCTGAGTGGTTGAATTTCCAAACCCAGATTACAGCCGATTTGTCTCGAACTTGCCCTCACATGACCAGTCCCCGGTTCCGTTCGCCCTACAGAGGCGTGCGTATCGATGGACGGTGTGGATGGATCATAATAGTGGGTTGGTGGGAACAGATGAGAAGAATGCGTTCAGTCTGAAGACAATTGCATGTGCGCATATTTTATTATGAACTGTCTAGCCCACGGGCTAGTTCCGCACAAACATCCTCAGCGGATCAACGCGTGTACTGATGTACAAGCTACAACTGAAATGGTCTGAAATACAAAATGAGTGTCTGGTTAACCTAGAATTTGGATAAGTTTGGATGAAAGGGCCAATCAAAATGATCAGTCGGAATTTTAGAGACCCATGAGAGTCTGGTTAACCTAGAATTTGGATAAGTTTGGATGAAAGGGCCAATCAAAATGATCAGTCGGAATTTTAGAGACCCTCCTGGGTTGAAAAACACACCAACTGAATACTCCGCACTTTGCTAAACACATAAAAATTGCTCAATGATGACAAAATTTTGCGGACTGTGATACAGTACTAATGATATTAAGGGCATCAGCGCATGAATTGACAACATTCATCGGATTGCTATATGCACATGAGCTTTACGAGGCACGTCACTTTGCCCATTTTTTGCCGAGTGACGGTTTTGATTCACACATGTTCGACCGATTGGTGCCAAGAAATTGATTTATCCTGATCAAAATATAATCCTCGCTCTGATGATACGAATACACGTTTAGTTCACCTATTCGCGTCACATCCGAATTCTTCACGGCTAACTAATGTGATATTTTCCCCCTGACTTCCGTTCGGTTTTTTGCGAATAATCTGTGCCCTCGAATTTACGTTGTCCTATGACCAATTTTATGAATTTCGCATAAAAATCTGGATGCCCAATCTAAATACGTGAATAGTATGTTTTTTATTTCATTGCTTATGGAAAAAGAGCAAACGCGGTTACCTTACGTTTTCATAGCACTTGGTACTACGGTTGATGACTGGACTGTCTCACTGCTGATCAACATTTCACCGGTTTCAGTCTGTCTAGGAACTTGCATAAGAGAAAATGACTACTGTTGGGAAAATGCGCAAAGGTGCACAGGAAATCCCGCGAACGTAACCCGAAAGAGCAAAGAAATTTCTCATTTTGGAATGAGAACAGTGTCACTGACCTGGCAGCCACAAGCTGAAACAGAATCCAATAGAATCCATTGTGTGCGAAAGAAGTCCTGATAAAATACGTGCTATTAACCCGTGATGATCAATCCTAAATATACTTGCTTTTTATTAAAACCGCTCCTGTTTGATATGAATGCCTTTACTTTAGGCTTTTCCGAAGTCCTAAATAATTGGAATACTGTATTTTTATGGTCTTCGCGGATTGGTTGCTGATACTAATAAGCTAACTAAGCTCGTCAATTCACTACGTAAACCTTTTTGCTAGTGGCCATTTTCGTCAAGGCATCATAGAGCCAGACAAGGGGAACCCGAGGGAGCGCCTGTATACACTACGTCACGTGGTCTTCGGTTGGTCTGATCGCAGGTCTTTTTAGCATCATGCAAACCCCCACAGTAACTCACTATCTCAGTATATATAATGCCATTTATTATCATTCTTTACCAGGCTGCCGTGATAGAGAACAGGTAGAGGAATTAATTTTTATGCGAAAGTAAGCAAATGAAGAAAAGAAATCGTTCTAATTGGCCGCTTGAAAAAGAAATATGCCGGATATGGTACCTTTCTGCCATTTAGGGAGAAATATTAGGAATTTTATGCGATTATCCAGGATTATTTCCCCGAATAACTTGCCAGAAATAAAAAGTAATAATAGCGAACATCACGTACCTCACAGAAGTGTTCAGTCGACCCACACAACCTTCAAGCCCTATCCTCATTGTCTTTTCACCAGTATTGTTGACTAATGTTATAGGTTAGAGTCCACCAGCTGTCGCACTCTATTCCAAGTAATGATCGGATATTTGTCCTTAAAAACTGTTGTGGCTTCCATGAATGAGTGCATCCAACCAAACTAAGTTTTGATCCGTACAGCTTGACAGTCAGTGAGTAGCACAAGTGGCGGGATGTCATTTTTCAGAATGAAAGAAAATATGTTCGTTTCTTTGAGAAACGTCTAGTTCTTCACTGTGTAGTTCAGAGCCACTTGCGTAACTTCTGCCACGGTTAACACTGGATGGGCTTTCAAAGTCTTCTGAGGCATGTGAGTCCAGCCATATTTTAGTGACTTTCATTTGTTTGTTGCTTTGAAGCAAAATACTTCAGAGTTAACCGATTCTACTGGCATCTGGTACACACATGTGAGGTCCGATAGCTGGGTTCGTCCGTTTTACCACGGCCTATTTATATCCTTTTTTGTTGCCTTGCAACTGTCGTTATCAAGACAGATTTCATCAGTTAGAATGGGAATCGGTTGTTGAATCAAATCTACAACCTCTGCATAGGTTGTTTTGTCTGTCAGAAGTCAAAGTAAAATAAACATGTAGATGGCATTTTGGCTGGGGTTTCTCCATTTCTTTGTCGTGAAGGCCAGTTCTGGAGCCATAAGCCTCCGCGCATCTGTACATTCGCCATCCTGTTGATGCCACAGTGTTTCAGTTCTGTGAACGTAAGGTTCAAATGTAAGCCTAGTGCGTCGAGGTTCTGACAAAGAGAAAAAGGAAAGCGGGCTAGCCAGCTTGGCGAGTCCCCGGGAGGCGATTCGTGAACTATGTGGGTAGCAAGATTCAAAGGATTTGCACGCCGCTGATATCATCTTAAAAAAGTGAAATCCAAGGGTGGCCTTCGGTATACCAATGAGATGGTGGTCTTGACTGCAAAAACAAGTTTGATCGGAATACTCGAACGGTTGAGGAAGGCTTACGCATATTCTATTCGTGATTACTACAATATGATAGGTTGAGGGAAGCGGAGAATACCGCACTGTGACCAACTACGGAAGCACAGAGTACCATATCTTAGATGGTATATCAAAGCGAGATGAGCTGGAGCTTATCCTTGTGAGTGATATGAAAAGATATAGATTTGCTAATGAGAGCTGTGATAAACACTCCTTGCAGGCACTTCAGAGATATTCAGTCACATTTATGCATGACGAGATAAATGACTGGAGTGGAAGGTGAGGATGCAGAGCACCTCGGTTCTTTTCTTTTCACATAATTTTTCTTCCCCTCCTGGCCCAATTATTAACGCTTTCCTTCTAGGCCCATTAGATAGGACTGACAGCCACATTCGTCTGGTAATGGTCTTTTCCGCAACGTCTGCGCATCAGCCGGCGCTAAGAGCATTAGATCTCTCAAAACCAATCTAGCTTCGACGCTCAGTCTCCCTGGCTGGTTTTAAAGATTTCCACCCTGAAGAAATCAGTAAAACAAGCTGCTCTTGCTCTCACATTGGACGTCCCTAAAAAGAATGTGTGTTGTTCATCAAAAACATGAATTTGAGATGCACGCATATTGACTGAGTTGACTACCACATCATTCTCCATTCAATTCTGGCTGCGCGCATTCGGCGATTCACAGGCCGCAGCGACAGTATATGTAGATGTCAATGGTGTTCTGAGTTACTGAGCGGAAGGATCCTTGCTTGAATGAAGACTCACTGATAGTCACCTCTGTGGGGGTTGTCTGACAGCGTCTGTGAAGGAGTCTCACAAGAGGAAGTTGATCGCCGTACGTTTGTCTTCTCTGCTTACGCCAAAATTGAATTTCGTTTTGACACCATCAACACAAATTTTAGGATAACCCTAATGTCCCTGTTGTGGTGCGTTAGTTAGTGTTCTATTTATGGATTATTTGTGCCTATCTGTCCGTTTATGAGGTAAGATTTATAACTAGACTACATTGCTTTATCAGCCGAACAAAAGTGTCGAGTGTTATTACGCCATCACCATGTGGTTTAAACATCCAACTTGGTTAACCACCCAAACCAATGTTTGTGGGAAAGTTTAACCAGATGCGCAGTCATACAAGTCACCTAAAGATTTCAACCTCCCGGGCAAAGTTTCTTCTCATTACACCCCGTCGAGACCCCGAAAGACAAATGTTCAATATGTAGTGTTTGAGCGAACCTATTTTGTTGAGTTTCACTGAGTTCAATCAGTTATTTACCGCATGCAACGCAAGGAGCACGGTGGAGTGCCCATTGGTGCATTAACTGGTCAATCGTCGATAGTGTCTCCCATTATGACTCAATATCCACTTAGCTGCTAGGCCTAAATTCATTAGGTTGGTTTTACGTGGCAATTTTCTGGTTGTTGCGGTTTGAAGTTGCTTGGCGCAACGTAAATCACAGGCTAACAAAAACATGTTCATGAGTAGTATGTAATGTCAAGAAAGCACATTTGTTATTCTCGTTAACCTTTGGATGGCTCCTTATATCCCCATCAAAGCTAAGAGTACATGATATAATTACGTCATCACCTCTAACATTTCCATTGAGCGATTCTGCACATGTGCACTCACACCAGCGTCCTTCTCACCACGTCTGCTAGGTTAGAACACCACCCTGTGGTACTTTTTTGCTGTCACGTTAAAGAGCCATAGTGAGTAAGGTTATTTAGAGGTGGTCAGTAGATTCCAGTCAGCTCTATTGCGTGTGAATCCAACCAACAACGGCTGATGTCGCAGACATCAGACCAAAAATGCTAGGAAGTACTCGTCTTTTTGTGACGAATATGTGATGACGCAGCAGCAACATATTGTTTCTAACCCAGAAATAGTTGTGGCAAAACCGAAAGAATCCTGCGTAGCTTGTTAGTAGACTTGAACAGGAGGTTGTGTTAAGCTGACTCCATACCAGGGCGGATGACCAATGAGCCACCTCCCTTCTTCATGATACGCCACTTTCCTTTCAGTATAAGTAAACAACTGCGTAACGCAGATTGCTAAAAAGTCTTATATTTCCACAAACTAATAAGTTCAGCCTTAGGGGGCGTAATCCACGTGTGCTATGGGTGTAGGGTCTATCAACCAGTAAGGATGAATTTACTCGATTTCGCCTCTTGTGTAACAACAGTTGTGGATATATTTCATTGGTTGTTGCAAAATTTAAGGGTAGCCGCCTTCATTTAGGCAAGCTCTGAAGTGGTTGATGCACTTGGTTCACAGGATTTGCACACCTCCATACGAGATAACGCGTAGACTAACAGGTGCTGAGAGGACCATGGCCACAATGCAATACCAAAACTTAACAATAATATTGTGAGCAGTTCCACTATAGCTTCGTAATTCGACTTGTCCATGCCTTCCTTGATCTTGACGTTTGGTGTTTAAGTTGGCGGGTATTCTGTCGCCTGAAGCTTTTACGAGTTACGAATCATTTTCAGTGTATTTATCGGTCTTTGCATCAGTCTAGCTATCTCATGCAAGATGGCTCAGGCTTTGGAATCGCTGGGTCATCACACCCAGATGATTGGCTTAACAGCGATACGCAGTGATACGCACGGTCCAGAAGAGAATTTCACTGATACTTACAGCAGCATTCGTGTAAATGCTGGTTGTGTGTGCGTGCGTAACCATTGATAACGGACGTTACTCGTGAGCTCGAATTTAGCCGACGAGGGTTTTCGGTCAGTTTGCACACTTGATCATACTTGTGGTGGACACAAACAGCAATCTGACCTGCTGCTGGATTACAAATCATGACGCCTTTAGATGTTGGCTGGTCTGTCTGATATTGAGTCTGTTATCGAGGTCACAGATTAGCTTGAGATTACATGACTAGATCACTGCAGTTCAGATTCTAGTGCTCGCGGCTTTGTTAAAAAGCCAAAAACCCCTACAATGTGTGTTTGCTATTGTGTTACTGTCATTGTCTTATTAGATTGAGGCAGTATGATCATCCATAACATAGATTAGCTGAAAAGAAAAACCTCGATTCCCCTGAACAAGGTTTAATAAAGGAGCTTCGAGCCGAACTCGACTCGGATGTGCAGCACCATGCGTAGTATAATGTGGGAAGTCTTAAATTCAAAACACAGCTTAGGGGAATAGATGTTATAATCCGACTTCTTGCTTGACCTGTATTCAACTGATTGTAAAAGCACTTTAAAAATTGCCCACGGCAACCGAAAAGTCCGATTAAAATGTCTCATTCCAATACGCTGGGTTTTGAATTTTAAAAGGTTTAACATAAAAGTCTAATTAAGCTTGAAAAACGTGTGACTTTTCAGTGAAATTACGTGTATAACTCGGTTCGGAACAGGGTAGTTGCGACTGAGGAATTCATCCAAGAACCATCAAACTTACTAGTAATTAGCATGAGACTGTTGCATCCATACTGCTGGAAGACAAGAGATAAGGAAGACCTTTTGGTTCCTGAAGTGAAGAAGTTATTCTTCAAAAAGAAACAGTACAGCGACGGTTCACTTTGTTCCCCCTCTCATGTGTTGAACAGCCTAAGCCTATGTCCCCACCTACATTATTCGGTTACGCCATCGGCGTTTAGGAATGGGACTCGACCTAACTTTCCAGTTACGACGTCTACTAGGACTTTGGAGGCTGAACGATAAGGTAAGGCCACAAAAGCTAATTCACTACCCTTACCGTCCCCATTATTTAGCACCTAATTTGAGTGCCAGAGTACCTGTCTACCATACTGTTATTTTTCATTTTTAGTCCCCACTGAAACCCGACCGTCAAGTAAAAATTACTTGTTTTACTCAGGGGGAGAACTCCGTCAAAAAGTGTGAACAGTTAGCTTGTGTGCTGAGAGAGATAGAACAATTCTTGAGGGCCAAGTACAGCCATGTGTCAACACGCACAAGCAATCAGAATTTAAAATAGTCCAACACTTCTGAAACGCTGAAAATACGCCTGAACCTTGAGGCACTACGACTTAGCTTATTTCAGTTTTCGTAGCTTGGCTTCATGGCTAAAACTGAGCCTTGAAAATTAATGATTCATCGAATTATAACAATATGTACTGTGTCGTGCTTTGGTTTTTGGCATCCGAGTGCGCAATTTGCAACGCTTCTCAAGTGATTCAAAGTTAACAATCCTTTTTCTTGTCCACCGGTACTGTTCCATTTAGAAATCTACCTCGCGCTATCTATATCAGCATGACCATCGTAACAGTGGTATACGTGATGTCAAATGTAGCATATTTCACTCTACTTCGACCGTATGAAATCTTGGCCTCGAATGCCGTGGCCGTGGTGAGTCATCTACCCATTTCCATTATTATCCATTTATTTTATCGTGTGCATAAAACATGTTCCACTTTGTAAATTTGTCAAAATCTAACCAGAATTTGTGTCGCTCGACCCATTCTTCCATACAGACATCACTCTTATGCGTGTAGACTGTCATTGCGAATGTGTGACAGGTCTTTACTGTTCACTGCTCACGGTCGTTCAGACTTTTGTCTGAAGAATCACTTTGTACTGTGTTGCTTCAATTGAGTGGCACATCGGCAAACTTTACATCATACCATTTTCGTCTTCGGCTTAGTAAACGTTTTGGATAACTAGACATGGCAACACAGTTAACTTCCGTTTGGAAACAACCAATCTATTCTGCCATGCCCTGGCTTGTGCATGTGTCCCATTTGCTCTCAAGCACCAAACACCGTAATCAGAGAATTCATGCTCTAATCTAACCATCCATCATGAGTTATTTTTACTACATTATCTTGGATGCATATAACAGACCGTTTGTTTGAGTAGGTGGCAGCATAATCCACCGGTGCGTAACTTACACGACACAGGTTAGGTTTCCAGTAATACCCGAATATGTGATCAGGTGGAAGCTGGCAACTCTAGAACAAAATCCTATGTTTAGTTTTGCCTTCATAAATTTTCAATACTATGTAGAACACAGATGTGAAAATTAAATATTGATACTGATCCTTCTAGATTACCAATGACCATTTGCATATATGAAAAAACCTAATGCTATTAAATATCTGAGGGATTATGTCCCCGGAAAGCTAATTTCCGTTCACCGAATACGTTACCAAACAGAATAAATAATGGTTTAGGCTGTTAAGGCCTATAAATTCGCTTTCAACGAGATGTCTCCTCATTCTACTGGGCTGTTGTTTTACTTATTCTGTGATCTCGAAGTTTTGCCTCATTCCTGTGTACGGTGTCTTCATGAGCGCAGATTTGCTGCAGGTCATTTTGGTCAAGTCAGTGGGCTAAGTGCAGCCGGTGTATATAATGTCATATTAGGAAGCGTCACCTTTGGGACGGAATTTGTGAGTCGAAATGAGTGACCTTCCTCCTGGCCATCTTTGTTGCGAATTTCACTCTTATCTGATCTGATCTCTATTTTTGCTAGATGAGCTGACATTGCATTTTACAGTCGAGTCATCGCTGATACCAGGGTTAATTTGATGTGCAGTTCCAGCTAACTTGACCACTCTGTAATTACTTTGTTGAGGTTGATAGCTGGACGGACCAATAACTGTCTCTGTGCCATAAGACGATACGTCACCAGGCCTCGACGATTGGTACGTAGTTTAGACGGAATAACAGTTAGGTCAGCAAGCCAAGGCATTCATACGATGAACCAATTTGATCGAAACTTTGTCGTTCATTCTGTGCCAAAACCTGTTAACTTTTTGCACAGAATGTCTTTTTAACCACAGAATAACGCATTTTACTGCCCTCTGTTTAGACCTTTGCAGATCGTATCTACGGTTACTTTTCTTGGATAATACCCGTTTTTGTATCACTCTCCTGTTTTGGCGGTGTCAACGGACTTCTATTCACTTCTGGCAGGTCAGTAATTCATGACAGCCACTGTTTCATTTTTGTCCACTTTCCTCTGCATATGTTTAATAATCAACTGCTTCCATAATTCTTTTGGTGGTTCAAACGTCTGGCACAAAATCCCAACTGGATTCACTCTTGTGCATACCGGACTGGTAGATTTACAACTGTTTTTAGTACGGTCATCCTACTGTTTCGTGTTGAGCTAAATCTATACTCACCAGGTCAGCTGTATTGACCTGTCACCTTCGCACCTTCACTCATACACGACTAACCAGAGTGTAATTTTATGTGGAAGGACTCAAGAAAATCAGCGGGCAGTTGTCAAATACCATTATCAAAACCGCTTCTACGTGATCCTACCTCTAATTTACATAAATACGGAACACTGGGTCTAGAAGAACATTGGTAAGTTGAAAAAAGTAACCGGTGCGGTATGGATGACCAAGGGAACTGGCTGTTTGTGTCCAGTGGAACATTAAAATTGTTGTGTCAGATTTAGACACATTTCAAAGGATCCATTTTACGACAAATCTACCATAACCGTCCTTCAGAAGTGTGTGGGAGACCACCTGAAGGTGGAACATCCGGGCCAGGAATGATCGGCATAACTGTTGTATTGGCTCATTTCAGCAGCAAAGCTATCCAAGTTCGCGGTATGGTCTTGGTAAAAAATGTGTGGACAGAGTTATCATACTGCAACGCACAAAACCCGTAACCATGGTGGAGTCCTTCTTGTGTTAAAAATTTAGAAAAGAAACGGTGAAAATCCCGAAGACGTTTATTACGGGCTACATCACAGAGGATTCCTAGCCAAGTGTATTGAACAAACCTATAAATATCGAGATGAACAAACTACACACAACCAAGAAGCACGAACCACTCTCTTTTCATATCCAGTAAAACAGTCCGTTTATCTTACATACTTGGTACCTCTGAGGTTTTTTTCAGAGGATGCCGTTATTTAACTATTCGTACGATCTTTCATGTAGACAGCACTTAGTGAAGGACAAAGACAGTGTTCCAAGGAATCGACAGATTGCGTTCAAATGCTGGAATGCTCCAGCTGTCCCGCTTGGTACATAAACCAAATTGAAGATAATTCGCTGCACGCCTAACAGAGCGTGGGAGATGCTCACCTGCCAAAATGTTTGGAGGCGGCAGAAACTTCACTTGGACTCGGCTATCACACTACTTTCCACGGTTGAAGCACATTCCGTTGATTCTAAAACTGCGCATATTTGACTCGGTGGGCGTCCGTCTCAGAAACAATTCCAAGGTTCTCGCCACCGATGCTGGGCACCGAGCAATCCGAAAAATACGAGTGAATCATGTCTCCTTGCAACTCACATACTTTACCGGACGTGATCTAATTCTTTTCATTCTTTTAGTGGGTTTTATCATTCATTTAGTTGGTACAATCAGTCCTCGGTAATCGTATTTGCTGTGTTTTACATTAACAACTACCTAACTCACGGAACTCCACCGCAAGGAATGTTGCCTCCTGCACTATATTCGGTGCTTTTGTGGCCCGCAAATTTCAAGGATAGACCCACCCTTCTGCATTGGTATAAGTTCCAATCCCATTCGTTGGGGTGTTGATGTTTAATGATTCCGTGTGTGTAGCCGGCAACTTGTTTACCTAATCTTACGGTGTTCACCAGCGTCCAACTATACACCTTTGGCAACTGACGCTTACAGATACATTTAACTAGGACTGCCACCGTGTATCCGAACGGATTTAGTTATCAGAAAGTTATCTTTTATCGGTTAATTTACCTGTCAGGAGAATGTTATCAACAGAGTGCTTATGTATAGTCCGCATAGGTAAATCAATTTAGAATCTAACAATAATGACAGAATTGTGTGAAAGAAAGAGGTTAAATTGCGTGTTGTGTATTATTTGGCCTCGATATGCATGGAACCGTTACTTTTGTGCGTGATCTCGTGGGTGTGAAGATTAGTTAAGTGACGTACGATTAACTTTGTCCAGTTTGCAGACACTGTTAATTCAGTCTTCAAGGGTTAAAAAGGTTTAGAGGTCTAAAAAAGGATATTTGCACATCAAGTCCGACTTACTTCCGATAGATCCTAGGCAGCTGGCGATGCATTATGATGAATGGCTGAGTACTGGCTGAGTATAGCTACTGGACCGTTCGACATCGAGCACCTGTTGACGCGCTGAAACTCACAAAAGACGTCATTACTGTGCAGTCCTGCACATTTTGGCCTGAAACGATGGAACAAAATCCTTTGCGTACTTGTGCCCAAGAGAGTCGATTGTGGCAAATTCAGTGTACAACCACACAAGTGGTCAGCTTAATCGACTATTGGTCCGTTTCACAGGTTGAAGTGTCTTTCTTATGACAAAAGTTTCCGATGTTTCCTATATCGCCAATTCTCTTCTTTTCCTTTGGTTGCAGAGTCGCATCACTTGCAAAATCTCCAAGTTTTCCGTTTTTTTATATGGAAAAACCGAAGGGCTCTAAGAAATTTGCGAAGCAGTATTTTTTGTGTAGCTTTGCAGCTTGTTCATCGAACCCTTACTAAGCTTCGTCCTTCATGTCCTTTGAATCTTGCGAGTTATAATTGGAGAAACGTGGTCATGGGTTATAAACATTCATTCCACTTTGATATATTTTCGAAAGCATCGGAAAAGCATTCCCTCAACACTATACTGCAGGCACTGCCACCTAAGCAAGAAGCAACATTCTCTAGAGCAATTACTCGTTAAATGTGGCTAATGTATTCTTCGTATTTTTCTCCGTGAAGTTTCAAGTGCAGCTACTCTTATTCCTGTGACTTGTTGTGTTCCGGAGCTACCAAACAATCTCCTCTAAAGCGATGTCGTCTTTCCTTACTCTTCATTACTCTTCATGAAAATGGCACTTATGAATAACGGAGCTTTGCACCAGCTTCACCTAATGAGGATGTCACTAGATTTTCTGTGCATAACTTACTCTGAGTTTTATCAGCATCTTCCCTACTTTTTTCCAGGTTGAATTTTGTGGCAGCTCGCGAAGGACAATTACCCCCGTTATTGGCAATGATTCACGTGCAACGGTTGACGCCCGTCCCTGCGATTTTATTCACATCGTTCCTGAGTTTAATTATGCTAATTTTGCCTGATCTCTCAGCTTTAATAAACTACCTCTCCTTTGTACAATGGCTGTCTGTTGCTGCGAGCATTCTGGGTAAGTTGATGGCGATGCAGACATAAACAATAATTCGGTTTTTGCAAAAGGTTTTTCGTATGTTCAGGCTGTCTGTTCGTCTTAACTTCCATTCTTGAATAATTCGCGGCGTCGTAGAAGTTCAGAAATGTCACGATAAATTCAATTCAGGCATTTAGCACAAACTATCTGTCACAGCCTGTGGGAATATGGGCACATTGAGCGCTAGTAACAAGCTGGCACTAGGTCTCTATTCTAACCGTTTTTATTCTTTTACAGAATGATGTTAAAATACTGAAACACAACACCGCTGTTGTGTTCACATTGATAAAGAATATTCAATTTAATATGGAACGGCTACGCGTACGAAAATGAACTGATTACAACGTGGAAAATCCAAAGCTCTGTAGACGAACGGGTTTCTTCGTCTTCAAGTTGTTTTAGAGTTTTCGTGAACAGGCTCGTACTTAAGCATTCCATCTCAGATTTAATTGGCAAACTCTTCACTAGCCGCCATTTAAGGACTTTAAAATCGGTCGAGTTATTGCCCAAAAGAATTGACAACTCTCAATAGTATCCATGCTATATCTGACTGTCGTCCACTCTCCAGTGCACAGTCCCGAAAAGGAATTGCTGACAAGGAACACAACAACCTTATTGCCAACAAGCGAGTGCATGCAAGCGCTTCGCTCTATATTTTGAAGGGCACTGTCTGACCTCAATCCAGGGCTGTCTGATAGCATCTAGCGGAGTTTGAGGGTCTCGGTAAGTTTCGGATACTCAGGTACATTCCGCAGAAGTCTGACCTTACTGGCAATCTAAGTATAAAGTTTTAGCGAATTCTTGCGGAAACAAAATAGGTTTATCACCATTACCCTAAATGGACCGGCCAAGTATGAAATTAAAAGAAAGATTTTTCGGCTCACAGGAGTCCAAAACTTTTGCGCCATCTAATCCTCTCAAACAATGCTTGCTATTAAGTTGGCTCCAATTTGAGATGATAGTTTTCAAGTCCATTTCTCAGTTGGTATAATAAACAAAACGGACCACGCCAGTCTTGGCTGCAGTAACATCTCCCAAAGACAGAAAGTCTACACTAGTCAACATTCAATTTGACTTTACCATTAAAATTCGTATGAAACTTAAGGTTATCAGTTCAAGTGGACCTGAGGTATCCCTCATCCGCCTACCATCACGAAGGGCACACGGTTCACCTGTGATGCTCAGTTTCTCCTCCGTAAGCTTTAAAAACGTTTGCTGAGGGATGAGGGTATCAAAGTTTATATTTTTAAATCAAGGAAATTACCTAAAAATGCCGTGAGGTTTTACAGAGCTTCGGTAAATCTGGGACCCAACTTAAGAGAGACCTTATCTCTATTCCATGATAACCCATCCCAGAAGAGTGGATTGCAACAAAAATGGTCTCGTTTTTGTCTGTTTTTTTATCGGTTTTGGCTGCAAAAAAAGATTTGTAGCATGCACTTTTTGTATGAGAGGTCCGCTCCAATCAATCCATTCCTTGGTCACCTTTTAGGCATGCTGCAGCTTCGTCGCAAACGTCCCGATCTCGCACGACCGATTAGACTTCCTGCAGTCATTCCCATCAGCTTTATTTGCGTCTGCTGCTTTTTGCTTATCGTGCCATTGATTGCAAAGCCTAATGAAGTGGGTATTGGTCTAGTCATAGTCCTTTCTGGAATTCCCGTCTACCTGATAGGAGTGGTGTGGCGATCAAAGCCGCAGTTTTTCCTTACATTTTATGGTAAGTATATATTGGTCAAGTCGTCATCCAGTGTATTTCTAATTTCTAGAGAATAACACAACGATGATATTTATTTTATTGAGTTCCATCGGAGATTTCGTATGTTAAATCAGGTGCAACTCCTACCAAAGACTGCCCTGTCATAATGGGTTTTCCTGTTTGGCCTAATTTCTATCGCCTGAATAGACGATGGACTCTTCTCTTACATATGCATATGAGAATGTCTTGGAGTATTGTTCCTCTTACTCCTCAATCTAAACAAAACAACTGAACTTTCCTAATCCTTAGTAACTAACGCTCATGTGAATCACGGCAACTGCTTGCAAAATGACTGAAAATGTTTATTTCAAGCAGAGTTCACGAGATGGATACCGCTCTAAACAACTAACTGCATCAAAAATCCTATGACTGTTTTTGACTAAAGTAAACATTTCACGGTACAACCTCACCCGAAAGACGGTTTATCCATGTGGCCACTCCAACGCCATTGAGTTTTTAACTTTCTCACTCGGTCACTTGACACTTAAATATGTGGGCACTGGAGTCCACTTGCCTGGGCTTCCTATGAACCCCGCTTTGTTGACGACTGCATCGGCGACTGGCTGTCTTTTTACCAGACCTGACAGTCTTTTGTTGCGGCGTTTATGTTGGCTTATGAAATCAGCGTAGCGACTTAATTCACGCGTGTCGAATGAATCTGAAGTCCATACAAATCCGTTCATTTGTTTCCCTCCGAATTCAATCTGGCACCAATGCTTTTCGTGAGAACACCATATGTCTCTCCTAACAATACAGGAGCAACATTCAGCACACGTTCAAATGACTACTAACAGGTCTCCCGTATGAACCGAAGTTTTCAGAAATTCGACTAATCAGTCCAAATATAAATATTTAAATGTCTTCTAGGGACGCTGCTCTAGTGGAATATGGCAACCAAGATTTTTTTATGGTTCTTGAGGATGACTTTAAGCATCTACAAATCCTCTGTTCACACTATTATGCTAGTACGCTGTCAAAAACTGACAGCCAGTCTTTATCACCATTGTGGTATGCATGTCAAATTGACCATGCTCTGGATTTCTTCAGTCTGATATTCCCTTATTCTGGAAAAAAGTCTGGAATTGAAGGCCTCATTGGTATATGCAAATTTTTTCTCCGCAAGTTGCAAGTCATTACGTCCAGCAACGGAATGTCACACAATCCAAACTTTGTCCAAACTACCTATCCTGTGCCGCGAATTACATGTAACATCCACGAACTACACGCAAAGACGTGTGTCAAGCCCACACAGGGGCAAACAGTTACGGGATGCAGTTGGTGCCCGACAGAACTAAAATGGCTTCGTATATTAATTTGGGAAAGGGCGCCGGAGCAATCTTTAGATACCCGGAGTAGACCACTAAAGTCCCAGCAAGCAAACCCTAAAAGTGGTGACATTTTTGGTTGATCTTGTGCTGAGTTATCAAGCGGACGTTTTTTCATCAATGAATCTGCAGTAAAGTTAACGCACTTGTGTTTTAGAAATAATGGAAATGCGGAGGAAGTTCCTCCAGGTTGTATATAAGGAAGTAAAAACACAGAGTAAGTGCTCTAATAAATATTGGAAGCGAAACGCGCTACGATGTTCTGTCTCATGTAGGATGCTTAAATGCCTCTCATGGCAATGGGGCTATTGTGGAACGAATCAAGCTACGTATCTCAAGGTCCAACTCGCGCTGTCCTCTGGAGGACATTTCAGTTTAAGCCCGTCTTTTAAGGCAACGTTTTCTAAACATGTCGTAGTCTTCATGGGTAGGGTAATTATTTTTAGATGGATTTTGAATAACCTCCGCTTATTAAATGTATTGTCAGAAGGTAACCGTACGGGAACGTCCCACGAAGTGCTCGGTTTTGCAAAAAAATGTGTTCAATGCACCCTACTTTACGTCTTAATATTAAGTTTTCTGTCCTTGTGGCTTCAATGAACCCTTGATTTCCGCTAAGTAACTGGCCTGAGGATAGCCCACCCTCTCCCTAACCAAAACATCCTAAGCCAATGCTGCATTGTCCATATTTTTCACGACCTCCAGATTTTGTTATACATATCTCACTTATGTCTTTATCTTCATTTCAACGTGGTAGAATCGGTTATGATAAATTGCCAGAAACTCATGCATGTCGTCTCTGCTGACTAATTCTCAGGCGTTTGGCTCATGGATATGGATAACCTGTTTGTGTTCATCTGCGTTTTTATCATGCTTGCTTCAAAATCACTGACTGGTGAACTGAAATTTGCAAGTTCAAAAATATCCTGGTTTTGTGAAACAATGTTTCTAGTTACGTACTGCGTATATATCTTTCCCGCTATAATTGTTGTCCACACCAATTTCTTTTGGTGTGACGTGATTTGTATTTCCTGCGAACATTTTGATACCACCAAGTTCTTGATTTCAAGCCAAAAAGACTTCATTTTTCTATTACTGTTGGTTTTAATATCCTGTAGGTTATTGCTTGATAGCGTCAGTAAGACCCTAGTTCTCAAGGAGAATAAACGCAATAAAATAACTTGAATCAATGTGCAAAGTACCTAATAGGGAGTGCGCTGAAACAAGAAGAATATTTTTTTGTTTTTAGAGAACTGGTTCAAAATCAAATTTTCGTTTGACCTTTATACCTTATTTTAACTGTATCCTTGCTGAGACCACTGAGCAGTAACAAGACGTGATGATGTACATAAATTTTCAATTTACCAATTAGCAGTTGAAAAGTTTTGTGCTAAATCTAATATTAAAAAAAGATTTTATTCTCACTACTGACCACTTCCGCGGATGGGTACGTACTGGTAAGGAACGCTAGATAATTTCAAGTCAGCACTGACCATATTCATGCCAAACATGAATATTCAGAAAACATTGTTCTCATATTTGAGCACAAGAAAGAGAGATCTATTGCACATACTGACTACTGTCGAGTTATTATGTCCTTGTAGCAACAGAGCATGGCTGTTCTTCAGAACACACTCTTACCTGGCAATTCGTGTGTAATTCATGGACTAGTGCTGGAAGTAGAGGAGCATTAGTTTGGACGAAAGCGCGTCTTATGAAGTCAGCCGCTAACTTTACGTTTGGTAGTTCGTTACTTGTGCGGTTTCGATACATCTTCGGAGCTATACTAAGTACGGGATGAAACTTAGCAGACAAGACAGTAGCGGGTATGAATATACACTATCTAGAGATATTTGATTGCCGATCTGTCACATTCCATCCTGATCGAGGCCGACTTCGACAAATTCACAGATAGATGATTAAGAAGTTTGTGTCCATTTGTGTAGCGGGAAATAGCTAAAACCATGAGCTGCGGTGGGCCGGTAGCGTGTTAGATGCACGGTCATTTACCTAAGTGAGAACTGGTCTCCATTCAAGCTGGGCCGATTTGCACCACGTGTGGCTTTGCAAAAGCTTTCGGGGTTTTTGGGTGACCCTCGATTTGATTGGTTAAAAACGCCTCAAGGTACGACCAATGTCAAGGATCATCTGGCTGTCAGTTTCTTCCCGGACCGTCTGAATCGAAGTTTGGCCATTTTTTGTTAAATTTTGTCAATTCCCATTCTGTTCTCAAAAACAAACACTTTTCACGGAGTCCGCATACCCTCTACTCAATTACGAATCTAACGTCGAAAAATACATTGTTTACCAATAATCAGTTATGTACTTATCCACCGCAGAGTTCAAATACTCTTCTGGTATCTTTTCATATAATTTGTAATCATCTTCAGCGGTAAAGACTGCGAACTTTTTGTATAGTGGTTTTAGCAGTCACAATTTCGTTCACCGATCGTTTCAAGGAAAGAAGGTGGATGGCTGCGCGCCTGAAGCGGTAGCTAGTATAGTTGATAGTGGTAACAGCAAACTTTTTTCTGAGGAGATCAGAAGTCACTGAGGGCAACGGTTTGGATGCATGCGCGCCATGGAGCGCGCAACTGGGTCATTTCTGTCAGTTTCTTGCCACTAATCTGTCCAGTGTTGGAGTCTCCAGTCAGGGAGATATCAATGACTAACGCAGATGAATTAGCTGATACTGGCATTCACACTGCTGCTGCTGACATCACGTTGAACACTTTCACCCTTTGCGTGGTTGTACGATAAGGGTTCTTTGAGAAAGTCGGTCGGCTGGCATACGGAGTGCGTGACTGAGCCAGTTCAGCCTGTGAATTGCGATCAATGAGCGACTTAATTTTTTCCAAAATCATTTAACGTACTTAGGCATTTTGGATCCGGTGTTCCAAACATACTCTAACAATGCTCCAAAAACATGATGCTCCAACACTTAACAATTTCTCAGAGGCCAGATTTCTGACCACGTGGAGCGCAGCACAGCATTATAAACTCTTCCCATGTCGGATAAGCTGATATGAAGTCTGTTTTACAAGTGACAGAGATTCTTGTGACCATCCCAATTCGGATGGAAATAGCTTCTTTGGCTAGACCACCTGCAGTGATGCAGCTTCCCAGGTAAACAAAATTTATCTACTTCTTCAGTCGGCTCATCTGCAAGCGTGAGGTTCAGGTTCGAGTCGATTCAATCTTGAAGCAGCACTTCACGTTGTGCATACTTGACGCGCGTAACAAACCATGAGATAGAGTGACTCAAATTATTCCACGCTGTCAGTAAGCAACCGCGTCAGGTCTAAGAACAACTATATCCTCTGCACACTCGATATCTGTGAGAAAATGCCTGGGAGCACATGCCATAACCGTTAAAGGCTAAGAGTAAGTTTCCCACGATAATATCAATAGTGAAGTTGAAGAGCAAGGTTGAATGAAGCCAGTCTTGCCTTACATGACTTGATGTAGTGAGCTCAGACAAGAGCTTCCCGTAAACCTTCACTTGTCCGTGGAAGTTCGTGAACAGCACTTTAGGGGGACAGCAAGTTATGGAAAACACCTTTGTTTCATAGACCCCACCATAAAAGCTGGCGACCCACAATGTCAAAGACAGCTTTTAGGTCAATAAAGACGCCTAGGTTCTAATTGCTGAAAGCTGCTTTGCTGTTTCAAAATTTATTGGATGGTATAAAGGATGAGACCACAGAGTACCTTTGGTGCCACAGCTACCAGGCAAGTGTTGCCGTGATTTCCACGCAATGTTCACCTATTCTTACACTGACTGTCGATATGCTTCACTCTGCAGTCCGTTCACTCCATATAGCACCGATAACGTTATCAGGTGGATAACCAGGATTTCTCCGCCTTTGAGGAGGGCTGGATGCAGAACGTCCGGTCATCCGACCCTTTCACGTGTTTTTAAGGATATCTCCCAGTTTATTTATCCTCACGAGCGCTCGAGGCTCACATTCTATTCTCCCAAAAGCACTGCTTTGGGGTTTGTGTTGCAGATCAATTAAACTTCTTTGAAGTTTTCGGTCGGCAGGTTTGCGAGCGAATTTTTGAACCGCCTTTCTCGCCTATCGTTTTACCAGGCGATGGGCATTTAATCGTATCAATTGGTATGAGGCGAGTCTGTTTCCGGTAGCATCTTCATCTCCTGAGCTTTCATCATCCAGCAAAACGCTCGGTCTTTCCTTAGGCTGTTCGCTGTTTGGTGTTTAGCGAATTTGCGTGTAACGACTTACTTGTTGCCTACTGTTATGGATTTCCTGGTGATTTCGACGGTATCCAGTAGTCATCTGACCGTATCGGAGATGTCGTACATAGAACGGTGAGTACCGTACAGCAACTTTCGCACAGCCATGATTCATCCACGCGCTCGCGATCACTGTTGTTGGTATAATGTAGAGAGCAGTTATGCTAGCTCCGATTAATAATGCTGGGGTAAGGTAGTTCTCCAAAGATGGTTCATGCTGACTTACGAAGATTTGAACGAAAACGAACTGACAGGCTTGCTCACAATCGTGTGGTCGGGATCACACCGCGCAATACGATTGCTTGTAGTAGGTGTCTGACTGCTCCCTTTTAGCCATCCTGGCATGAGTGTAACTTGTGGGACGAAGTTCTAAACACTGTAGCCCGCCGGGTCATTTCAACACTAAATTTCAACTACAACTTCAGTGTGGAAGGTCAGATCAGATGCCACTGCCTCACTATGGATGCAATTTAATGGCACATTTAGCTTATGCTTCAGTCGTGGTGCCACCGATGATCACATTTTGAGACAGCACACTAGAAATCTGGTCCTAGGTTGTGGAGATGTTAAGCACCGACGGAAGACCGATCACTCTCTCCTAACGGCCCACACCAATTCAGATCGTGCACAAGTCCGGGGGCATCCAAGGAGCCAATCTTTGTAATGGGAGATCTGCGTAAAGCTCTTAATTCGGAAATCGTGAAAGAAAAAGCACTACTTAGAATCAGAATGTTCCACCAAAGTGAGTGGAATTTGTTCCTGAGGAGCTTACTACGGGCATGGCATGCTTGATGGCGCCGCGGCATGGACCACATTTCTAGCCTCCTTCTAAGAATCTTCAATAATTTAGTTATGATCAGCTTAAATTCCTGATGCCTTAAAGATGTCTATAAATCGTGCTTGTTCCATCAAAGTTTAAATCCCGATTATACAGTACATAAGCTGAGAGGAATCATATGACACTTGTGCTATTTTGGGGAAATTTGTGTCAACCATGTATATCTTTGTAATGCACTACTCATAAGGTTGCTGAAAATCCATCGACAGCCCACTACCGAATTTGCCCTCGTTTCGAGCCACTTGTGGCCGAACGGTTAAGGACGAAACCGTTCGTGGGCTGTCGATGGATTTTCAGCAACCTTACGAGTAGTGCATTACATAGGTATACATGTATCGCGATATTTCAAGTATCGTAGCGACTGAAACATGAGGCGGCCTGGTGCAGCACATTCAGTTGCCGAGAACATCATAAACAAAAGATTCAGCTGGGTTCCAGGTGAGTCTCTCGAAAGAACCAAATGAGTTTGCAAATGAGTGTATATTCGCTCATTTGTGTCAACCAGTTTGACGTGGGTGTCGTTCTTCACATGGTTCAGAAATCTAATGACCAGTAACGACTCAGCCCGAAGAAAGAAGATGAAACGGATAACACGGAGGTGTAGACTAATTTCAGGTCTGCAAAAGAGGCGCACATTGTTTGCTTCAGTAACTTTTACGCAAAACAGATATGCAGTCTAACCCTAATGGCCCATGATTACCATTTCTGATGACAATAATTGCAGTTCTAAAGAAACTAAATAAGGACTAATCGATTTGAAGTGTAACCAGATATGAGAAACCATTGCCGAATTGTTTTATTCAGAGGAGTATAAGTTGTCATAATAAGCACGTAGCTTCAATGACCTCTGTATCATGTGTAGATCCCCTCTCCCCAGAGTAGTTTATTTTGGACTTGCTGACATTTTCATGTTTTTCAAAACCATTGTATATTTATACGCGTATTGTAAGCCTTCTCCTCTGACAAGAATAATTGTGGCTAATCTTCTGTCTCCTGGCAAGGTTTTTCTTCGTAATTATGTCAATGAGCAGCTATCGTTCTGTAAATCTCCCGGTGTTTAGGGGAAGGCTTGTGGTTCTCGTATATGGTAGAAGAGACCCGGCACGATTTTCGATCAGAACATGGGATATATTTCAAAATTGGGTCGTTCCTGGGTAGTAAGCGCTTTCAAAGTAATGTTAGTATCTGGTCCTGCAGAAAATTGCTATCGAATTAATATTTTATTACGTCACATCATTGGAATAAAAACTCCATAACGAAGAGCAAACTTGAGTTCACACCATTAAATCCGTCAGAGCTTTTCCTTGTAAAATATCCTTGCACGATTGGAAGACTCGATCCACATTACGTTTATCAATGGCTGTGGTCGGAAACGGGTACACATGTCTCATGTTTGACTGATCACATTTTGAAAGAAACATACGCTCAATAAAAGTGGTGATAGAAACAACTTGGTAGAAGACGATTGAGTGCATCCTGCGTTGGAAATTGTAGAAATCTTCTCTTGTTAACAAATGTTTGGCCAGATTCTCATCTGTATCGCCTTCCAGCGACCATCCTTGAATAAGATTGTCGGTGAAGGCTTTATTTACAAGAGAAAGAACTTGGTTATATTCGTCAATGGTTTGCGCGTGTTTCGCATTTGTTTTAGAATTATCACTTGCCGTGCTTTGTCGAATGCTCTGGTCTCTTGTCGCATGATCAGTGGGTAAGAAGTAAGAGAAATATTTGTTCCAAACTTCCGCATCTTTTTTTGTTTTCACCGACCTTGCAGATTTTACCTCGCGTAAAAGCTGAACGAGGAATATTATCTTACCCATACTGTATTCCGGGAAATATGTCTCCAGTTGTGTCCGTTGCTCCCGTACTTTTCTTTCTAGTTTGTCCTGTTTATTTAGAAAGAGAATAATAGATTTGTCACGCAACGGACTCTTTGTCCACACCTGACCCAATAAGTTAATTGACTCACTTAGGCGATTCACTGTGTGGTCTTCTGCAAGCATCATATCATAAGCAGACACATCGGTGAGGAAGATCACCGCTGTCACCCCATCCGACATTGCTTCTATCCATTTTGCTCGTTGCTCACGCTGTCCACCAACGTCTACTAACTCAAAGTTCACATTGTTGAAGACGATTGACTCCGTGTGAATGCCCAAAGTTTTTGTTCGGCTTTGTAGGACGTCCTCATCTGATGGCTTATAGCTAGGTTCCCGAATATCATCAATTTTGTCTAAAAAGTGCTGTGCACAGTCAATTAGCTGGAATTCGTTTCCTCTCATTTGCGTCTCTTTCACGGCTATGTCTGCCCACAACATACGACAGGTATCGTAAAATTCATCATTTATTTGAGGATCAGAAGATGCGGCGTACTGAGTGATGGTATCTGGTGCCCGGTCGATCTTCGCTTTCAGCTCAAATATACGGTTTTTAGCTTTCGTCAAAGTCTGTTGGTTACTTGCAAACAATATGTGCTCTTGATCCATATAAGCCAGTATGGATGCGAGTGATTGTACCAAATTTCGTTGAATCTCCGGGATAAATTTTTCCCTGTACTTATCCGTAAACGTTTGATTGTGCGAGCTAAGAAGCTTCATTTGTTTCACAAAGGTTGATTTCCCCGATTCACCTGTACCAATTAGTATTATGCGATGAACCTCTTTGACCTGTGCCATATGTTTTTGGATAAACTTAAGGAAGTATTCATGGCGACGTTTCTTTTCACCTGAAAACACGTCAAACATAACCGAGAACTAAGCGCCCTGCACACTGCTGGGATACGCTGACATTTTCACGTGACCCGCCTTTAACAAATGTTCATTGATTATTCCAGCTTTAAAAAAGTTTACCAGGTCTTGTCACTCTGTAGTCTACGTCCGTGAAAGTCCTGGCCTGCACTACTGATTGCTCAACTGTGGGCCGGGCTTTGAATTTCGATCAGGATTAGATTCAAGGAGAACCACCAGAACAATATAGCACCCAAACTGGTTTGATATCTGCAGTCATAAACTTTCCTGTTAGTTGCGAACGTCGTCAATCGCTATACATAATTCAATATGTTAGTTTGGAAGCTCTCTACTTCCTCTCCTTGGGTAGCACTGTTCTTTATCGTGCTAGGAAAGTTTTGAGGAATACGTGATAGGTTAGAAAATAACAATTTGGTTAAACGTCTCCATCGAATGTGATTTGGACACCCCATTTGTATGTTCTCTCCAATGCGTCCGTTCAAGATGAACTGAATAAAATGCTTTTTAGTTCACTGATATTGTAACTTTCAGGAACGTTTGAACAGTCCGGTAGGTCGACAGGGGTTCATAAGTTGATTGTCTTCAAAAGCTCCCAGAAAAATCTCGCTGTATGTACGAATAATTTTTACTGCGAAAGTATATGAGCTGTGGGATAGTTCATATCCTCTTAGGCTTTCGTAGTGCTTTCAGTTGTCCGGAGTCTGACTACATTAGGAATCCTGTGTCCGCTTTCATCACTGTGGAGTAATTGTTGCAGCTAACCAAGCATTCTGTCTGATCACGACTTTTAACTTGACGATGTTTAGTCTCCGGTTCTTATCATTCAGCAAATTTGCTCGAAGAACCCTGTGAACGAGAAATTCAGAAATTAAGTTGCGAATAATTCTCGTCGCAAGCTGCGTACAATCTGGTGTTGACGAACCTCAAGAGTGCGGTAACCGGCAGTAGGCTGCTCAGAATTTCCAGCGATCTTAGGGCTGAAATACAAAGTAGCGGTGTTTGGTGTAGATAGGTGAAAAAATATGGAAACTGGTCCTGAACCTTTCGATCAGAATGAAGTTCGAAGATGTTGTGCAGCGAAACAAATTAGTCATCTGGATTGAAAGTGATACAGCAGTAATCTCGTCGATATTACGGCTGGGGCTGGAAACAGAGTATGATGAAGAGGTGAGAAATAAGACATATCAAGGTAACCTGATGGTTGTTTACTCACTTTGAAGGAACTGCCCACTTTTTTCGAGACTGTTTCTTGAGAGAAAGAACCTCAGACGAAAGCAGGTTCTACTGCCCGGCATAGAATCGTACGACTGTTTGGATGGATCTGACTAATTGCAACCTGTTGTTCTCGGCCAGTGGATCGGCTTGTTAAGCATACATGACGGATACCGCTTTTACTGGTAACAACGGGAACAAACTGAACATCTTTGGCGTGCAATCACCCAACGGCAAATTACACCTCTTTTGCGAGAACACAGTGGAATATGGTGTGGAAAGTCACAGTTTTGACGAACGCAAACCTTGTAGTAACGCCGGTGGATTGGGATAGGGATATTGTAGGTAACTGCAGAATCTGGGGCAGTGTGAAGGATTCTTAAGAGCCGGATTCCGTTACTACTCGGCCCCTTGCAGCCGGAAGTTGGAAACGAAACCTCTAGGGCATTGTACTTAGGACAACAGATTAGTCAGTAGTGACACAAAAAACAGGACTGTGACAAATGGCGCAGTAGGAAACACAGGTCTGGCTCATTTTAGGTGCAGTTTACGTACAAACATACTGCTAGTAAGATAGAAAATAGGAATTCGGAGGAGTGTGAGAGACACAGTCGTCACTGTTGCGGGTCCCTGTTTCGCAAACGAGGAAATAAATCAGTAAGTTCACGGAACAAACACAACGGTGCACAGGGGAGCATAGGACGAATAAGGTCCAAAAGACAGCCAGATTATTGGGGAAAAAAGCTGATGAAATGGCAGTCGAACGGTGACCAACCCATAAATACTCATTGAAATTCTCTCAAGTGACGGAAAACCTCAACAACCAAGAGCTAGCAACAGCCGGTTGTCTGGTACTGTTTCCTATTAATCCATCGGGTTCGTCAGTTGGTCGAATTACCGATTTATCGGAGAAAGGTCGGGTTAGTTTCGTCTGATGGACTTCTTAGCCTCAGGCTCCCGAACCGATTATTCTCAGTCATTCGTTTACATTAGTCCAGCTGATCAATTCTCCGTGAATTTCGGAGGTTTGAAGTCTTTCACCCAGGGCAACAAAAATTGAGACGACTCTGTTCAGACTTCAACCTTTTCGGCTTACTATTCGTCAAAAAATCTGCATAAACCATGGTGATATAGTCATTATGCTAACAGGGGTTTCGCACAGCCTTTAAAAAACAACCGATCCACCAATTTGAACAACCAACCCCGCTAGAGAGGGCTTTCGAAGGCTTGTCATACAAGACCGGCGCTCAGTACTTGAACGATGGAGTTTAATTTTCGAGAACAATGACGTGTCCCTGATGGACTATTGGACAATTGCGTTCAGAGTACCAGTCCAAAGTTTTGAGCTGTATTTAGGCATCCCGGGGTCTCAGCGATGCTGAGAAATTATTCCACCAGAATTTTCTGCCAGAGTTCAAGTGGACAATGAAATTTGGTGTGCTGCAAAAATATTAGCGTAGATTAGGATGGTCTTTGGTTTGAGCACATACGCAACAAAATGCAACATTTCAGTGCAAAAGGCTTTACTCCACTCGTGAAGACTTCACAGCTAAGAACATTGTGTGGCTTATGGACACCTACCAGACCACTTGTACTTTAAAATTATGACCCTTTTATCGCTCGTGTGGATTGGTTTCTTGGGGCTGCTGGTGGCACGGTACTAAAACTTTTCTGTGAATAGTACGCAGCCTGCCTGACCAGTGCTCCGAAGTGAGCGAGCTGAATAGTTATGCCAGATTGCTGAACAGATGAATTACTTGCCAAGTTAAGTGCACTTGAAATTCTAGCCTATAGGCACAATAACAATACGGGATAGTGTATGACTTCGATCAAGGTTAATGTAGCAAAGCTCGCTTGTGTAATTTTGGCTTGCTAGATGACAGCTTGTTTACCTTTCGAAACGGACTAAATAACGGACAGTTTTTGGCCATTCAGGTCTGGATTGACGGTACCCGCTATTCACCGAGCGGCTGTTAATACTGTCTGGGCCATCAGTTTTATCGCTCGGATCCTACCTGCGGACAAGGAGAAGTGAGTGAGCCAGTTGGACTTATTTTTCAGCTTGTGAGTCCACTCATTAGGGGGTCCATCCATGTGGTCCGCTGGCGCACTCACACGCTGGAAATCCACTGAATTTTTATCCCCAGAACGCTTGCTTACCTCACTCCACATCCTCAGTCCTGGCATTAGGTCGCTTTACCGTTCGGCAGAGTGAAAACAGTTTCGTCACCACACATGTTGTCATAACATGTAGTTGAATTGACCAGATACTAGGATTACACCTTAAGACTTTGTCAATGACCGTATTTTTGTTGCCTCCGTAATGATCGTTATTATGCTGGCAGACCCAGAAGATCAAATACGCCTCTACAGAGTCTGAGCAATCAGCTTAGCTTCCTTTCACATGGAGCGCATTGTGCTGGCTTGATGAAGCCTAGATTTGCACATGAACAATTGTCACCGGCAACATTCGTACATCAACTTGCCAAGTCAATTCCTAGTCCTGGTTTGAAAGCAAAAAGCTACGTATTCTCCACCTGCCAAGACCAGTCCCGTTGTAGCATTTGAATAAATAGCAGTTTTTAGTACGTACATACGTGGGTTGGGTTAATTTTAAGCCTTGCTCTGCGTGAGGAGAAAGAAATTCCCCATTCGTTTCTTGTATATGTTCTGGCACAAAACTGCTTCGGAGACTAGGTGGATCTAACTTGCAGGGAAAATTGGTTGCTAACTCCGCTACACTAGTTTTTCCAGTCCTATCTTCCAGGCTACATTGCTAAAGGTGAACAAACTAGTAGGGTTCCTGTTAGGATAACTCCCGACCAAGTCAGGCCAAGAGGTTTCAACCTGTCATGGTGTGTTTCAATCGGACTTGACACATTCCAGCTACCGCATTGTCATACATCACCAAGATTTGTCTCTTTCACATGACAGCAACAGCGGACAGTAATGGCACTCTAAAAGTGCCAATACATGCCACGTGGTCGCAAAAATATCTGACATATCGCAAGCCCAGAACCTAACAAGTCAAAGAACTAATATATATAACGTTGTTGTCTAGATGCAACACACTACTCATGTTGCTGAAAACCCTCCGACAGATAACGACCAGTCTTATCCTCTTTAGAGCCCATCAGATCATCATTGACAGAACACTGTAGATTTATTACCATGTCAGTTTATTTCGGTAAAGCCTTATAGTGGAAATAAGAAAGAAATCGAGTGGAACGTGACTCTATATTTATACCGCAACAAACATCCGAAGTGCCTACACCTCTAGCACTAAGTCAGACAATCGTCATAGGAACTGACGTCATAAACGCCCCCAACACATCCAAACTTTTCGTAACGTATTTTATTCTTTCTGCTATTCCAAATATTATTCTCCACAAGATTTGCCTTACTCAAAATTAGGCACAGAAAACAGCGCTGCTCTAGGCAGGCGATAAATCAGCATGCATACCACATGTCCCAGTCACCTTGTTTTGCAGTACTGAGGCAAATAGATTCTGCTTCACCGAAACCCGTCTTGTGGCCATTTAGTGATATATCCCATCAAATGAGCACAGCCCCTCGGGTTTTCACCAACTATGTGCTGTACGTGAACAGCAATTTGTTCAAGTAGCTTAATACACTGACTTTCATATTAGAATGGTACTAATAGGGGGTTCAAATGAATCTCAGTTAAATGCAAAGACTAAAATGTAGAAGTATGCGTTTGTACGCTTCCACGCTCCTTCCATTTCGGCCACAATGTTAGGACTCTGGTTTGGCTGCTCAGACATACTAAAGAAGGCGAAATTCCCTGTAATTAAAAAATCACCCTACTTACACTGTTAGAATCACATCAGTTATTTCCAAAATGTATTTATTTTTCAAAGTTCGATTCCAAATTAACGGCCATTTACTTTTTCTTGGTTTCACATTGCATTCACAATCAAAACTCTGATGCCATCGTCAGCAATTATAGTAAAAAGACGAGTTATCCCGTCCTGTGTGCAGCTACATCCTCCTTTCGGTAAGAAACTCAACAGAGCATAGCATTTTCCGTTCGCTAGCATTTTACCACGAAAATACGCTTTTCTTATGAAAAACAGCTGCAATCTGCTGTCAACTTTTAACGAGCTATCCTAATCCTTTTTGCATGAAGTTATCCGATAATTAGGACGAAAACAAGCGCCTAATTCATTACAGCGTTAGCAGTTGGTTCTGATAAAAATTGACACTCCTGTGAAATAAGACTCACATTTTTTTCGTCCACCTTTTTAAAGTCTTGAATAACCACCAGATAGTCTCATTTATCCATCAAGATGTTTGCAAAAGATTCTACGCTCGGTCGTTAAAATTCAACCAATTTTCTTCCAGGTTTATTACCAAATTGTGATTGTTTATTGATAAATGAGATCAGTAGCTACCAACTTGAAAAAGACATTTCCCACAATGTACCCATCTACATGGCATAGAGTAACTTAAGCTCACACACTAGCCCATTGGCTATTGGTCTGGCAGCATTTTACCAGTTCACCGAGTTTGACGCTGGCTTGCAAACGTTTCTTAACCATTCGAGGTGGTATCATGCAGCGATACCGGAAGATCAGATGCTAGTGAGCGTATCCTAGATACCAGTTTCACACATGACTTACACATTTTTGTGGCTAGCAGCAGAGAACAGACTACCAACGAAGGATAATCAGTATGACGGCTCGAGTAGGAGGCATAAATAGTTTGTTCTGTTGTGGAAATTAGAATTGAATTGCTACTTAGAACCCAGTGTTGTTTTCACAGTAATGGCAAGCACCACGCAGACTGCATGTAGCAGCACCTCTGGTAAGGCCCCGAGGAAGCTGCTTGCGATTGAAGCTATACGCATATGTGCACCGACCACCGGCAATGCGACGAAACCATGTCGCTACAGGCCTGGGACTGTCGCACTTTGTGGGATGTGCCATTTACGGGAGTCCAACTAATGCTCGTCTGTAAACAGTTCCTGCAAAGCCTGGTGAGGGAAATCATCCAAGACTTTGGGACCGACCACCGGTTCCATAGTTCGACTGTCTCTACAGATAGCTCACGGTGAACGATCAAATAGTGAAAACGCAGCATTGACTAAGTTTACAAATAACGATTAAACAGCAATGGCCAGCTTACTTAGTTATTTCCGCCCCTTTGATCAAAGTGCACGGATCAGTTAGCTATCACCGAACAGTAGCAATTTGCGCATTCCTTACAGGTTTTCAACGGGATATCATGGAGGAGTAAATAATCCTTGTGAAACATTTCTTATAGCGTTCTGGTAGGCCTTCGCTTGCTATAAAGTGATCTACAGCAGTGATTTCGGTTCTCTAAAACCTGCCTTTGGGATATCAAACTAGTCCTTGTTGATCATTGTGAGGATTAAAATAACGCAATGCCTGAATGATGATAGCGATCATATTGAGGAGAACATTTATAGACATGAAACAGTTCGACAAACAGATACACAAGACGTCCATTTATTAGGCCTCACTCACGCGATATACCATGGAAAATGTAAAACAGACGAATCTAGCGCCCATCATGGAATTCACTACGTCATTTACGATCGCTCGTACTCAATAATGATCACAATTTGCGCTAAGGTGGTGCGCAAAACGGTCGACCTAAAACTTTGAGCACGTTTAGACAATCACCTCAAGTTGCAGTTTAATTTAGCTGGGGAAAAGTGACTGGTAATCTTTTGCAAGTTGGATAGAAATGTAACAATACGGAAAACAAACGGACTACTTTTTATTATGCGTAAATTGCTTAAATACACAGAAATTACTCTCGGAAAGTTTCTTTATTATTTCTACAGGACAAATCTGTCTTTGAGCTCTAAGAGCATTGCTTCATTATATGATACATTTTTCGCCTTCCGGAGGGACTCAAAGAGCGAGTTTATGGCTGGAAATAGATATCATGAACTTTCATTGTAACGGAAACCTACCTTGAATAGTTGGTTCTTCAATCAAAAAGACAACGCAATCAAATCTAGGAAGACTACTCAAGTTCCTTAGGATTTTATACGCGAAGTCACATGCTTTGTTGTTTGACCCATCTGAAGCAGACGGATGAGGCATAAAAAGTTGGAAAGAGCCAGCTTACCTGAGGCCAAGCATAACCAGCAGAGGGCACGAATGACTTGATCGAGCATGGAGGCATCGAGTTTGATTCCAATAACTACGGTATAAGACCAAAAACGACTGGGTGAAAATTCCAAGCATTTGAAATTATTGCCTCCAAATCAAGACATTCTCGAAGATTAGCGACGAAACCAATATACCTCACCGTATTCTACAGGGTATTCTTTTTTCTAATACCGAAGGAGTCCCTTACAGCTTGTAACTTCCTCCACGTTTTCGGGGTCAACAGTGAGCTTCGGCGCAGGTATATATAGGTTCTGTTTTTCAGTCAACATCGGCATTATTACAAGTGTACTTGCCACCTACGCTTAACCACAGTATCCTGCAGATAACACGATTATTTATGTAAAGTTAGTCACGTCCGAGTCACTGTGGAATTCCTTAATCTACCGTTACCTCTGGTAATAACTTTTATTGTTTGGTTAAATGAATAAGTCGTTCATGAATCAATATTATCATCAAGCATGGCTTTTGCGTCAAATCTCATTAGTTCATTATTTTTTCCCTGGTTTTGTTCTGCGTGATGTCAGAAACGCTTCCAGTAATTTGGGCAAGGTCGTCCGTTTTTGCCTACGATTTTCTACGCCTATTATAGGGTTGCGAACCATCGTTTGCCGAAGAGAGTGCTGTTTTCCATGCTCAACTCAGAGTGGCGTAAACAGAGAGGTGGCCAACCTTTGACTTGGCAGAGGAGTATGAAGGAGATCACGAAACGCTTGGTTGTACGGCAGTGAAGCATCGGTCCAGGGTGGGGACCGCGTGATCCTCACTGTGCCTGGTGATGATGATATTCTCTTTTGGAGTGTACACTTGATAAAAATGATGCGGAATAATTACAAGCTGTACGTTAGACCCTACATTAAGGGTTTATCGCCCCCGGGCATATGCAGCCGCAGACTGGATGGCACCTTACTACCTGGAATCTGAAGTCTGGAGTCTGGAGTCTGAACATTGAACTAGCCAGCCAAATGTGAGTGTCAAAAGCAAAACATTTGTGGTTTAATCCAGGTGATCTTGCTACAACCCTCCTTAAAAGTTACGGAATCACTTCAGAAATGTCTCAACTAAACGAAGTAGTCACCGTCAGTGAATTCAGTGTGACGAAAGGGAAAAGCTAAAAAGTGCTTATGTATAACAATCAAACTTAAAATAATCTTTTAAACCGGTAGATAAAGCGGCATATTTTGCCAGCTTCCTTTCAGCTCCGTCACGAAGAGACTGGACCTTAGAAAGGGAAAAAAAAGTGCTTATGTATAACAATCAAACTTAAAATAATCTTTTAAACCGGTAGATAAAGCGGCATATTTTGCCAGCTTCCTTCCTGCTCCGTCACGAAGAGACTGGACCTTACCGTGGTGTGACGGTTTGCGCACCTCAGCGATCCATTGAGCTATACTGGAGAGTGTCCCGCGACACTCACAGAGTCTCTCACACCAGGT